CAAATGTTCTCCTCGGTCTCTGAGTATAGAATGACCCCACTTTGTGTTAAAGACATGGATGGTGCATTAGGTGAGCTCCACTAAGTTTAGGGGGTGGGAGAGGGATTTAGGACAAGCGGTTGCATACTGAGACTGCCTTTCTACAGATTCAGTTCAGACTTGATTGAACTTTTTCTGTTTAATCACTTTCCTCTCCTTTCCTCACTATTGTTTTTTCCTTCAGTGATTTCCTTTTCATGGGTCATTTGAGGATCCTGTGTAACTTTCCTTAATACTGTCTTCCAGCAGTTACCAATTGATAAGTACTCATTGCTCTCACTCTCGGCTCATCTAGGAAGGATAAATGCCCAGCTCCCATTGGGAATAAGCAGTTTTTCCACCCACCTTGGTCAGCAAATTACTTACTTGCTCTGATTGCATTTTGCTTAATTTGTTTTTAATATTGAAGTCAGAGGTTTGCAACTAGCCTCTTGAACCATTTATAGATTGATTTCTGTTTGAATAAAGTGAATAGATAACTGTAGTGCCCAACTGCTGTTACTGTGATTTTTCTTTTCCACTGTCATTATCACTGTAGAAAGTACTTATCTTGCACCTGTGATGTGTGTATCTGGATCTGAGTTAAGCTTGCAAAAAACAAGACAGATATTCCCAGTATGTTACCTCTTCTTGGTTGTAGGCCATGAATGATAAGAGGTAGACATATAAATAAACAAATAACCAATAATCAGCAACACATACTGCAAATACTCTTTCTGTTAGGCTCAAAGAAAGCAGGCGTCTAGGTGGTGAGGCTGCCCTTAGTATCTCCACTGTGTCTAAACAGGTAAATGAATGTATTCTAAGAACACCACACCCAGGACAAGAATCTGGACAACTAAATAATGGCAGCATTCTTCTAGGGGAATTATCCTCAGTAGACATCTGGAAAAATCAGAAAGCCACCAGTCAACCTTTTCTAGAATTACATGATGTAGAATCTGGAGCAAGTCACAGCGAGTGAAAATGCCTTTAATTTTTGATGACACTGCACTGTCATAAAGACTGATGCCAAAAAATGGAAGAAGTGACATATTTGAAATCTATAAATTGCATTTCTTGTTCATTTGTCACCTATAGGAAAAGCAAAGTAAAGTTTCTTCTTCTCTGAAGTGGATGATGGATGGCGTTAGAGTTGGGTGGCAGGAGCCTGTGTTGCCATTATTGACTTTCCATAGAAAACAATTCATCTGCAGGTTCCATCAGTGCAGTGTCTGTACACCCTGAAAGATATAAGCAAACTGGCTCTAATCACTCATGAGCTGATCTGAACAGAGAATAATTACTTTCCTGATCGAGGTCGGCTCTTGCTCCTGTCTCCACCCTCTTTTCTTGCAAGTAGAACAGCTGGGCTCTTAGAGTTGCAGGGGTCCCTGGACTGCATTCAGCGGAACACAGGGTGAAAAGGACTCATTCATTCACTAATTCATTTTTCATTCATTAGTTTATTTTTGAATATATAGAGACCTACTATGGACTGCAGTTTATGTCAGACAAGCAATGGCTCCTTTTTTTTTAGAGAGCTCACTTGAATTGTGAATGCTTAGATTCATACTTTTTACAAAGTCCTCCTAAAAGTGTGTTATTCAGATCATATTTCAGAATGCAGAGGATTAAAGATAGCAAAATGCCAATTATACAAATCAAGAGCCAGATGTAGGCATGTAGACAGTGTAAGTAATAAAAAGAGGGATCACTGAGATTGTTTAAGGAATATACTTTATTATTTTTTTGAGATGCAATTACTAACTTGAAGCTACTATTCTGATATTTCCCAGTAGAATACCTTCTTAAAAAGATAGGACTAATTTATTTATAATTGGCACCATTTATGTCTAAAGATTAAATCTCATTTATTATTTGCATTGTTTTTCTCAAATAGGGTAAATATTTTCTGTTAGATCTTGCTTAAATTCTTTCTTGACTTACTAATTTCTTCACTTTTAATAACTTATTAAATATGACAGAATAAACCTTAACCCATTTGAAATAAAATTACTACAGAATTTGAATTTGCAGGCTGAAATAAGGTTTTACTTAGTTAGCAATAATTCATTAAACGGTTCTATGGTTTAACAACTGCGCTGTTTGTAATTTAATTATTTTGAAAGATGTGACTAATTGGAATTACATGTTGGTGTGTATTAATATGTGGGCACGCATGTGTGTGTTTTGGTTCAATTAAATTGCATACAGGTCATAATATTAAATTAAAAAATCAGAATAAAAAATTCCAACTCAACTCATGGTATGAAATGTAGATCTGATTCCTTGTTGAAGGAATAGGCAGAGTCACCAATAATGTATGTTATTTTGCATTCTGTGGGTAGTCTTGCAAAGCAGTTTTCACAGTAAAAATGGGATAAACAATAATGGATCTAGATTGGCCTGTTTGAGTGGATTTGAGCAGAGATTTGAGAAAGGAACCTCCGGAAAGTTTGTGTGATGTATGCACACCTATAAATCTTATGGGGAATATTTCCTGACATTGCCCATCATTTCCAGTGTGTCAGATTCCCAAATAAATGGTTTGGGTGAGGTCTATATGGAGTAGGTAAGATTTTGGTGTGCATTTTAAAGTACCTAGAAGAAAAGTCAAGGAAGTCAGGAGTTTTATTTACTTAATATTCAGTGTCTGTATATTTGAAAATATTTGCATTATTGTATCCATTCACTATTACCAGGATGCAGAATATCTTATATAGTCAGATGGCTTAGAGGATAAAGTGAGCATCAAAAATATTTTGAACAAATGATAAATAAAAATAAACTTGATTTGAGGATGTATGGCAGGTCCATTGTTTTTATTTTGAGGAAGTCATCTGCTAGGAGAAGCAGGTAATGAGATCTGTACTGGTTGGAAAGGAGAACATATTCTGGTTAACAGGGAATTAGAAAATCAAAGGGGGAAAATTACCTTGCCTGAGACAATAGATGCTCTATAAAATTGAGCCTCTTCATATTATTATGGAAATTACTTTTTGGCAGTAGCACACAAAGGTTGTTATATATTACTGTTAATTGTGGTCGGAGACACAAAGCCATATGATCAATTGATGACTTATTTGTTATTTGGAAAATGACAGCTTTTATGTGCTAGTAGAAAGGAAATCACATGGAGATGTTCTGGTGAATTTAGGAGCCATCTGATTGTCCTTACTTAGTGCATACAAGAGATTTTGATGAAGCCATGTGAGGTTGTCTTAGCAGATTACCCAATGAGCCATGTCAGCTACCCATTGAGGGGTCACTGTTGACTGGGTGAATGAAAAACAAATAAACCTACACCTTTGCTATAATTTATGGTGGGTGGACAGAGGCCTTACTTAGTATGGAGGGAGAGGCAATTAGTCTCCAATTTTGTGTGTGCTTTTCCTTTTGTGGAGCACAGCTGACAGCCACAGCATTCCACTCACCCCCCATGTCCTTCTTCACCTCTTTGAGAAGGGGAGGCTGAAAGGGCAGTAAGAAATCTGAAATCCACCCCAGATAACACAGACATGGTTCGGGCTGAGAGTGTCTGGTGTGTGGTCTTCTTGTGCCATTTGCAGTGACAGGACGCCACCTTTGAGGATGACACTAACTGTTCTGAGGTTTTAATATGATTGCCTCCAAATGCTGGAGAAAGCTGTGTTTGCCTGGCACCCTGCTCTTTTATGAAATGGCTCTATTTTTCCCTCCTTTCTCTCTCACCCTGGAACTGCTGCATCCTCGGCTGGTAATCTTTAAACTTGAGGCCGCTGTGATTTCTCTTCATACAGCCACACATTAAGCACATTTTTCATGCTTCCCCGAACCAAACTCAGAAAGTGCCAATTAATAAGTTGATGGGGAAGAAGGCAGTGGGTAGCATTAAGGCCACCTGTCTGGAGACATTAGGTGCACACTTTGAGTGAAAGGAGACCTGCAGAGAATCGGGAATGAGGTGCTTTATCACACATTCCTAGAGGCATAAAATGAGAGACTAAAAAGCAGTTTTCAGGCAGCTCTTCCATCTTGCTCCTTTTGTAGATCGTTCACAGTGCTCTGGCCAAAGATTAACCAACCTTAGTGAGAGTGCTAAGCTAAGTGTCAGTAGCCGTGGATTTTTACACGCACATAGCATGTTCTCTTGTCGGCGAAGTGCAGATGGAGAAGGCCATTCTTCTCAACTATTCTACCATGGAGCTTCCATCAGTTCTGCTCAGACTTATCTGGGCATATGTCTAGTTTCATGGGATGATTCTGAAAATTCTTTCCATTCATTAGTTTGTTTCACAATTATCTATTGTGCACTAATATATGTTGGGCCTCAACTTAGCTGCTGGGGATATACTTGTGGGGAATAAAAGCAGAGAAATATCAAATGTCCCTATTGTAGTATAAATTAAATATGCACCAGACGACATGAATAGGTAAGTTGTTTATTAGGCAGTGATAAAGTGAACAATGCCCAGAAAAGGCTTAGGAAGTCCAGGCTTGATTCAAGACTCGGGTGGAATGTAGGATGACATGGGATATTGGTGATGTGAACCCAAAAGGGTTTATGGTAGGAGAGAAAAACCAGTGGATTCCATCCTCTCTCTATTTATTTCTGCCTTTCCCACAGTAGACTTGCTAATTTATTCCCCTAAATGGAGAATAGATACAGCACAGTAGGGAGGAGGGTTGAGGTTAGAGGAATAGATTTAAGGGCATATCCTTGGGGAAAAACAACAAGTCCTATAGAAGAGAAGAAAAGGCAGACTTCTATTTCCTCTCCTCCCCTTCCATATTTCCCTGCCTCTTTCATCTCTTAGGGAAATAGTTGCATGACACTGACTCTAGCTGGAATAGAACTGACATAGTTAGAGCCCTTGTTTGGCAAAAGCTGTTCTTTGCTTGCCCCTCATGCCTCACATCAATATTTTAGTTCACTTTCAAGTTCTGTGCATCTGTAAACAGCTTTGTTGTTTTCTTTCCCCGACAATTCCTTGCTGCAGATTATGTTACTCACAGATCCGGAGATTGAGAGCAGTTTATTGATCAGCTCAGATGAAGGGGCAACCTATCAAAAGTACCGACTGAACTTCTACATCCAGAGCTTGCTCTTCCACCCCAAGCAAGAGGACTGGATTCTGGCATACAGCCAAGACCAAAAGGTGAGCGTGGTTACCTTGTTAAAGAGAATAGTGCATGGCTGTCAGGGAAAAGACTACTAGTTCATCATCTCTACCTTTCTTCTCTGATCACTTTTGTTCTGTGCAGTAACCTCAACTCTGTGCAGTGAGAATAGGGCAGCAAGGAGGACCTCAGGTTGTTTGTTGAGTATGTAAATGTCTTAAGCAACATGCAATGGAAAAACAGCTTTTAAAGAAGGCTCGTGAAAAAGCAGTTCTAACCTAGATGCTTCAGGCTGTCAGAAGACCCTTACCACCATGGAATTTAAGAGGCTGTTGTGTAATTCTCCAGAGATGATTTTTTTTAGAGGCTGTTTTGTAATTCTCCAGAGATGATTTTTTTTTTTTCTGGGTAAAAGACACATAACATTTTGCAGACTCTTAGAAGGAAGAGTTTGAGAAGGCTAAGTACACTAACTAGTAATTTAATAAACGGTCAAAGAAATCAGCAAACGAGCAGTAATAACCTGCATAGGTGACATTATTCAGGACCCGGTCATTACAGGATTTTTATTCATTATTGATTAAGTTCAAGAAGAATTTCATTTCTTAAGAAAGTATTCAATGAGATCATGCTGCTACATGCACATGTGTGTATGTGTGAGAGAGAGAGACATATTCCATGAAGCGTCACATCATGAAATATATCCTGCACTCTGTACTACAGATAAACTATGAGATACCTGCCTTGAAGTAACTTAGATTCTCAGGTAAAGGATACGGCTAGCAACAACAAATACAACTGGATTAAAATTAAAAAAAAAAAAATACCGAGACAGATGTGAGATCATAAAAGCAAAAAAAAAAAAAAAAAAATAAGTGGAACTAGTGGGATGCTTTCTGTGATATTCACAATTCTATGAAATGATTATGGGAAATCTTAGAAGAATAGTGTTAGAAATGGCATATATTTAAGGAAATACTGGGCTTACATGAGCGAGAAGGAGAATGGAGGGGTTTGTCTGTCTGGGCTGGTATAGATATGTGGGGTTCTCTGTGAAGAAAAGGAATGAATGAACAGCTTTCCGAGGTCTCTACTGACAAGAGTATTTTGGAAGAATCACATTAAAATTCTTAGGATTGGAATTTTATTCATGCTGCCCTTACTGCCAAATAAAATGCACATTAAGCCTAAAAATAGAAAAGATTTACAATTAGTATTTTTTCCTTCTAGAACAGCCTGGCTACCCTTTCAGAGAATGTACAATTTCATTCCTGGAGTCCAGCCACAGCACATCTGGTCCAGGATGGTGCAGTTATCAAAGGGGAGGACTGAACAGCTTGGGACAGAATACCAGTCATATAATCCACTGGGTTATTGCTTTTTTTTTTTTTTTGGCAGTTGGTTAATTTTCCTCCTGATGCTCAAGGCACAGGAAGGGCCAGATTTACCTGGCTAAGTGAAAACTATGCATGCTTGCAGTTGTGCTGGAGGAGATGCCCAAAAATGTAACCCTTCATGACCCAGCACTTCAAACATTGTCTCCCGGGATCACATGGCAAGTGGATAACTTTGAAGGAGTTAGGATGGGCAGGCAGTGGTCCCAACTTGGTCACATGTAGTCAACAGTACTTGGTGTTGATTTCCTTTGTCTTAACATGTGTTTGTAGGGATAATTATAATTAAAGGTGCACTTCCAATGAGATTGGAAAAATAAAACAAATACTACACTCCAGTTTGTTTTAGGTACTCTGCAGGATGTAATGTTGATATTAAATGACTTTTAAGGTGCTTTCAACTCATCTGGGGAGAGATGAAGGCACATGAGTTCGCCAAATTAGTCTGTAAGACCAAAAAGGCAGTGTCCTTAGCTGCACATACTAGATACCCCATCAAAACAGCTGTATAGGTTATGGGAGACAGGCAGCTCCATGATCAGGAGGTGGAGATGTTATGAAGTGATTTCACCTGGCCTTTCATGAATATGTCGTATTTTGGGTGGGGTAGGGTAGTGATGGCTCGTTTTACATAAGAGAGATGATATAAAAATAAAGTTAGTAAAAACAATGTTTCTAAGATTGTGAATTTGTCTGTTTGGCAGACAGTGAAATTTGGGAAAGGTAATTATATTTCTGTATGCTTTTGGAACCTAATCTTGATTCTTTTTGACTGTTTTAACTGTTAATCAGTTTGGCAAAATATTTTTTTCTTTTTTTTTTTTTTTATTAGGAGCATTTTGAAACCTTTGGCCAATGGAATGAGGTTTTTAGAACTATAGATTATAATTATTCTTCTGGTATAAATAAAGGAAAGAACTGTAGAATGAGGTCAAAAGCAGGAAGACCAGTTGAGGATACTATTCCAGTAGTTCGAAAGCATTTTTGTAACCACATACCACATGAATTCTATCATTTTTTAGCTGGAAGAAGCCTTAACAGTCTTCTCTTTATAAACTAAGGCACTGAAAATTTGAGACATTAATAAATTTCCATAAAGGTCTAAAAATAATCTATGACTCTTATGTCAACATCTAGTGACTAATAGAAAGCATTACATGAAATTTTTTAAGAGTTCTTGTTCTTGAGGGTGATAATTTGAGATCAGCAGGTGGATAGAAGCCAGCGTTTTTCTTCACCTCTGTTTTTTCTAGGAGAGAATGACGGAGAAATATCCTTGGGAGAAAAAAAAAGGGAATGACCCTCTAATAAAAGTAGGGCTTGGAGCAGAACTCCATACTGGGGCATGACTCACAGAATGAAGAGTGTAACATTAGCCAAGAGGAGAGTGGGCTGCAGCTGAGCCATTAGCTGATGGTGTTGGCTGGAAGTCAAGTTGAGAGGGTCTGTGGCCACTCAGGTGGGTCAGTGATATGGAAATAATAACTGGCAATTGCCCATGAATCATGGCACTTTTAACACTGATGATAAGTGTTGAGCCCTAAGGAGGGCCCCATGCTGGTGTTGGCAAGCCAATGACTGTATTTGTGCAGGAAAGGAGAACATTTATTCTTTCATATAAGTATTGCTCATCAATTTTTCTGTCACAACTGCTATTGCTGCTGCTGCAAAACTCCCAGTAAAGATCTTAGCCTCAGTTCTAGTATTCACTTTGTTGGATACTGTTCTTCCCCTACCTAGGGCGAGCAGACCTGAGGCAAGATGTCCTGTCTATTGTTGCGGGTGCAGCTCCTTTAGAACTCACCTGTGTAGGGCACTCCTCTCTCCTCACTTTCTTATCTGCAGTCTCCTTTGTCTTTTCCCTCTTTGGAACATAGATCCCCTTTTATTTGTGCAAATGTCCCTGCTATTGCTTTTCTCTCCTTTAGTGAGTGAAACTCTTAGGGCCCTGAGGACAGAGTCTGATCTCTGGCTGCCAGGTTTGAGCCCATATTGGCTACAGTGTTCTGCTCTGGCTGCATTTCATCTTGACTGCCTGGTCACCCAGCAGGGTATTTTGATGTCAGGTTTTAGAGACTTAAAAGAGCTTTGTTGAGCAGATTGTCTTTTCTGGCCCAAGATGGAGTTTTACTGTCTATAGGTTTCCATAAGAAGCCAGATTTTAAATAATTTTAGAAAAGCTTTAATCAGAGAGAAATGTATATGGCTGGATGCCCTCAGAAGTTTTATAAAATCAGGATGTTTTGATGTTTTGGTCTTGTTTTCTTAGAGCAAGAAATCTATCTAGTGGTTGCCAAGAGGTAAAAGCTTTCTTGAATGGGCTTGTGGCTGTCCAGACTACACTGGAACAAACAAAGGGGAAAGGTGTGGAGCCTTTTTCTCTTTGATGTTCTAAAAGAAATAGTCTCACTATTTAGGAAGCCCTGTCAGAGTATATATCCACTATAAACATGGGAACTGAAACCCTGGCTCTTGAAGGATCTGTATGAGAATATGCCTTTGGAAACCCCAGAAATTTCTAGGAAAATAAAGCATTACAGACACTACGAAAATTTCATGTCAGATAAGCAGGAGGATATAGTCACATAAAGTCACACCTCTTAGATTTTTTACAAAACAACAGTGAATCACCGCGGATGCTGTAAAGAATACCATACATTTATTGTAGGAGCGCCATGTCTTGGTTTCCATTATTTATTTTATATTCCTGTAATTAAGCAGTAGACTAGCCCAGTATTCTGCTCATTCTTTTGTTTCTATGCATTTGGAACGTGAGCAGGTAGGAGATCAGAGAGAGTGTTTCATTCCCTTGCTAGTTTCTCCCCACTTTCTTGCTTCGATACAGGAAACCACCCAAGGAAGACTTAGCAGCAGGCTCAGTCTGCCAGATTACATCTTTATTTTAATTTGGCAATAAACTAGTGTACAAACTGTGCTATAAAACATTGCCTACAACAGCATCTCTCAGTCTGTCTTAAACACCTCACTAAACATGATGTGTTGGGAAACATTTGAAATGAGAGAAAACAAAACGCAGATGTGGCTGGAAGAAAAAGCAGGAGAAAAATATAAGAGCATGTAGCTACCTCAGCTTTTCCAACCTTCCTGGGGCACCAGGCTCTTGGCCTCTCTGTGAAGGGTTGCCCTGGAGGCGATGTTTATGAAAGTGAGATTCTGCAGTGCTGTGAAACAGACATGAACATATCCAGGACTGAAGCTACTGAGCGCCTGGGGAGGGGAGGTCCTTTTGCCACCCATGTAGGCTGCCAAGTCCTCCTTGCCAGGTAGCTCTGCAAAGGTCTGCTGCCCTGACTGGGCACAGGTAGGGCCACTTGACATCCGTCCCTGTGCAGTATGCTTCCTCCCCCACCACCGTGGATGACCAAGTCCACCCAGACCATGAACTCACTTCTTACACAGACAAACATGAAATTTGACTGAACAGAGCGGGCAGGTCTGAGTTGCAGGACACTGGAGAGCATATGTCCATTCTGGAGGCTTATATCCAGCCCACTATTCCTGCCACGGTGGCTGACTCATTCAGTGTCACTGGACCTCCAGGTTCTTTTCTAGAGAAGCTAACCGGCTTTCTTTAAAATGTGACATTTTCTTATTTTTAAGTGTTTGCAATTAACTCAGAAACA